TCCATCCATCCATCCATCCATCCATCCATCCATCCATCCATCCATCCTCTTGCCACCTCACTGCCCACTGCTCTCACCTTACCCAGCCCCAGGACCATGCTCTCCAGAGCACTCTGCAGGGCACTGATGGAGGGCTGAATATCCCCACATCATCCCACAATGGTCCTCTGCTGCCTTCCCTTGGGATTTCACCCGCCCTTAATGCCCCTCCATAACCTCACCCCAAAGCATCCCAAACTCAGAGTGCGCCCTGGGGACAGCCACTCTGTGGCTGGTGGGGACCCGGGGGACGCGGAGGCGGGCAGGTAGGGGCACTCACAGCCTTTGTAGATGTCAGTGGGGATCTGCACAGCAGCATATGAGTAGTTAACCTTGGTCTTGAAGTTGGCATCGTCGGTGAACTCCAGCTTCAGGGAGTTGGACTTCTCCCGCTCGATTTCTTCCCCATCGGGATCATCCTGAGAAGGGAGCAGGGTCAGTGGGACATCCCTGGGTACCTCTGCCTGCCCCCCACCCACCAGTCCCAGTTCTGCCCTAAGGCTTTGGTAGCACCACCGGGCTGAAGCCAGACAAAAATCCCACCTGGGCAAAAAAATCCTTGAAAATCAATTAGCGGCAAGAGGCAACTATCAAAGAACAAATTAAAACTGAGCGCGGCTCAGCGCTCTGTCAATAAGCAATGCAAACAATATTTAATTATGGTGGAGAGATGGCAAATCCCTCACTGCTGGTGCTGGATCGTGCTCCCCCCGCAGCGCCAGCGCTCAGCCCTGAGCCCTGGGCAGGGGACGTGCCCTGCGCCCAGCCCAGCTGCTTGCAGCCGTGGGATGGCAGAAGGGCTGGGCCTGTGTGGGGAGGGAGGAGACGTGGCGGTGACATTGCCCTGACATTGGGAGAGTGGCAAAGCCATTCGCCACAGCTCGGGAGAGTAACAGGATTGCTGTGAAGGGTTCGGTTTTAATTCCAAGAGTCGGCAGTGTAATCGTGCTGCAGGCCACAGGGCCTCCTGAAAGACGCTGAACCCAATTACGGCTGCAGGAGCCTGGCTGCAGGCACGGATAGCTCTGCCTCCCTAGCTGGGGTGGAAATCCAGATTATGCTGTGCATTCTGCTCTACCACCCACCCCAAAGGCTGGGCACCCCTACGTGTGCCAATTTCAGAGACAAACACAACACTGCAGGTGCAGGAAGGCCCCGTGCATCACTGACATCTGTACAGCTAGCAGCCCCATGGCGAGCTGATGCCACCCAAGCTGCTGTCAGCCCTTACCCACACAGCTCCAGGCCTAGCTTGGAGCTCTCTGGCGTGGGGTCAATGCCTCCCAGTGCAGCCTCATGGAGCCATCACGGCCAGCTGGGGCAGAGGGACTGTGAGTAGGGCCAGGGGCAGAAACACTGCATGCAGTCGGTGCGGGAGCTGCTGTTGGAGCATGGGAGGGAAGGATTTGGGGCTCGTATCGCTTTCACCCAGCACAGCTCTGCGCATCCCTGGCCAGATAGCGCAGCATTTCTCACCTTAGCATTTCAAAAGAACTCCGAAGCATCTACTGTATCTCACAAACGTTACTGTACACCCGACGCAGCCTACAGATCTGGATACTTTGTTTGACCATTCTTGGCAATGCAACAGCGTTACCCAGTACGGCTTCAGCAGCACGGAGCTCGCACCAGCCGGCTGGGAGGTCGACCACGTCCCTGTGGCTTTCTTTGGTGAGCTGCCCCGTGGAGCGACATCTCCATGGGAACGAGCCGCTAAGGACGGCTGGGGACGTGTCAGCACAGGGACAAACACTCGGTGACATCGCGGCCCCGGCGGGCTCTGTGCCCCCAGGTGCCCCCACCTGCCTCCATCCCACCACGCACTCACCGCATTCGGAAGGGGAGCCCAGCCCGGCAGAACGCCCTTCTCCCTCCCCCCGCCCCGAACCTTTCCTGGAACGCAGCAGCTCTGCAGCCCCGCTCTGCTCCGAGCAGCACGGCTATAAATAACAATCAGCCTCTCCAGCCGCCTCCCCTCGCCCCCTGCTTTTTTTTTTTCATCTTTGCCAAAGGTACTGTTTGGAGATCCTTCTAGACCATTTATTTTTTGAATTACCAGCCAGAGGAGAGAAGAAGGGGGAAGAAAAAAAGAGAAGGGAAAAAAAAAAAAAAAGAAAAAAGGCAAAAGAAAGAAACTTCTCAGGCTGATAGCTTATCGGGAGGCAATCCAAATGCCACATGAGTCGAGGAAGTTGGAAGATTAAATTTTCCAACCCCTTTCATCTGCTGCTGACATTTCAGGGCCGCTCCCCCTCCCTCCATCCCCGCAGCCAAGGCTCTGGGTGGCAAGTGCTGGTGGCAGAGCGGTGACACGTCCCTGTGCCGTGGGACAGGACATGGCCACGTGGCCCCATGGCTCCAGGAGAGGTGCTTGGGGCTCTGGTGGGAGTGGAACAATTCAGGGCAAGCAGTTCTCTCCCTGCCCTACCTCCTCTGCTTTGGCAGCTCTGCATCTACTCACATCAGCAGACCGGATTGTGACACTGAAATGGAAGCATTTTGTTTGGAAGATGACAAGAGGAAACAATCTGACTCCTAATTGCTTTTCTGTGCCTTTTGTGAAGCTGGAAGCGCAGAATCTGGCTCACAGATAAGTTCAGCTGGTGTAAACCTGCACCTCTCAGCATGGGAATGACTCTAGGCCACTTGGGTGTCCCTAGCAAAGACCCGCTCCAGCCCTGCCACCTCTCAGTGGGGCTGTTGTGGCAACCAGCTTCACTCTTGGAGGCACAGTGGTCCTGCAGGGATGGGAACAAGGACATCCCCAAGGACTGATGCTGCCGTGCTGTGGGGACATCTGCCCAGAGAGGTGGTGGTGCCCCATCCCTGGAGACACCCAAGGTCAGGCTGGATGGGGCTCCGAGAACCTGATGAAGCCGCGGGTGTCCTTGCTCATTGCAGGGGAGGGCAACCACATGGCCTTCAATGGTCCCTTCCAACTTGAATGAATGCGTGATTCCAGGATCTCTGCAGCCACAGCTAAACCCCACTTCACTGCCTGGGAAACCATCCCCCGCGAGAGCAACATGGCCCTGCACATCCTCACCCAGGCCCTCAATTGAGCACCACCCCCTGGCACACGCAGCCGCAAACCTCTGCACTCCTGCGCTCCGCACCCAGCGCCCAGCCCAGAGCAGATGCTGCCCTGAGTGCGGCTCTGAGGACAAACTCCCCTCCCCGGCCCTTGCTGGCAGGGAGTGAGGAGCGCTGCTCCTGCAGGCACGCGGAGAGCCCTGTGGTCCCCCAGGAACACGTGCCGGCGGCCCAGCTGCTAAAGCCCACTCTGAAATCCAAAATCTGCTTAGGGAGATAGCAGAGCCGAGTGCAAGCAGAATGAAAAGGAAGCTCATTTCTTTCTCTCCCTCCTTAAACCCAGTATGAGGCTGGTGAATAAGTCCTGGTTACACTGAATAGGCATTGTCTATCAGAACCAACTTCATTTCAGCGAGATCCTGCTCAATTTAAATATAAAAATTGAAGCGAAATAAAAGAAAAGACAGAAAGACCGCTATTTGGTGAGGTTCAGACCCACCAGTATCATCTTCCCCCTTCTTTATTTCAACATCACCTTCTTCTCCCTCCGTTATTTTTTGCCAGAATTAAATTTGCCAGGGTCATGCTGGGTGGCAGCGATGGCATAAGTGCAGGAGTGCTGCTGGCAGGGTGGGCAGCATCCTGCCCCGTGCCTTTCCCCACATGCAGGGACAGCACAGCCCTGCACTGGGCTGTGGCACAAAGCTCCCTGCGTGCCAGCAGCTTGGTGTGACGCGGGGTGACGGCAGTCCCCTGGGGCTGTCGGTGCGGATTTGAAGCCCTGATTGCCAGAAATCACAGGATGGCTGCTCAGGGAGAGGGCAAAGAATTAGCTTCAGTCGCTAATTAAAGATTTGCTCTTCATTTGAATTTCAGATGCTGGCTTTAATTTTAGAAACTTCAGCAGCCGCACAGGGACCTGCCCAGCAGGACCAGGGGTGGATGTCACCGTGGTGTGGCCAGGGCTGGGGATGGGTCACAGCAATGCGCGTGCACCCACGGTGCAAAGGGATGGTGGTACTCACAGTACTCACAGCACTCACGAATTCCGCGTCTGCCTTGGAGTCGTAGTACTCGATGTCTTCCTCCTGTAGAGAGAGCAGAGCTGCATGAGGGCAGGCGTGGATGGGGGTCCCCATCACTGCCCCGTACCCCTCCTCGTACCGCAGCGCTGGGACGCAGACCCTCACCACGCACAGCCCACTCCGCTGCCAGTCACCCAGTGGGTGACACTGGGATGCAGTGTGTCCCCATGCCCGGGATGCTGCAGTTGTACTGAGGGAGCTGTGGCACAGCCAGGCAGCGAGGTGGCTGCGCAGGTAGAACGGTGAGCAGCATCCTCACTTTGTGGCCTTAATTTGGGGTTTTTAAAAGCTATTTACGCAGGAAGGTCTGCTCAGATCCCTCTCCCTGCACACTAGGGCGCGAGGCAGCTGACAGCACTCAGAGAGAGGCAGGCGATGCAGCCAGCCGTCACAATGTCAGAACAGCATCTCATCTCATCTCCCAGCACAGGGGGGAATTAAAGGGCGCTCGGGGCTCTCTTGTGCACGCGGCGGTGCGGGTGCAGTGGTGGAACACCCTGCATGGCTGTCATTGCTCGCTGCCCACAGCATGGGGATGGCCCATGGGGGGCCCCTGTGTCCTCTCCACAGCCGCCCCAGGTCTGGCAATGAGGTAACGTTGATAGAGGGGAGCAAAAAACTCAACGCAGCACCTTCTGGTTTTTGTTATTAAAAAGCCCAGTCACTAAGGGAGTGTACTTATTATCTGTGATTTGTTGTGAGGTGCTGAGGGGTTCACAACGACAAGGGAAAAATAATACATTGCCCCTGGATACTTCTCTCCCCCCCAGCTCTGCCCCATACCAGCAGCATGCCCCTGGCCCGTGGCCATCTGCACCTTGCAGTGAGAGGAGCCCCTGGAGACCCGTAACACAAAGGAGCTAATTTCATGTTTAACGAGCTTTAATCAGAAGTGAGTGTGACTAACAACAGCCAGCCAGAAGGAGCTTTGTTATTCATTTTATCTTCCATCAGCTCCTCCAAAAAGCTCTGTCCCCCTCTGGTGTGCAGGATCAGGGACTTGCCCATGTCAGAAGCTGGAGTCATTCTGTCCATGCTCCATGCCACGGGTGATGTGTGTGCAGGGGACATGTGGGACATCATCATGGCTCCACACCGGGGTCTCAAAAAGGGAGCAGGGAGTACTACGGTTTCCTCTCCCTTGCATTTGCTCTTAAAGCCACACTTGTACTCTTCACCTGATCCTTGCCTCCTCCTCCTCTGACCCAAGCAAGTACAGGGGCTGTGTAAATAGTGCTGGTATTTCTGCTGTCTTTCTGAATAAATGCCAATAGAGAAAACGAGTGGGTGGAGATGTTGAGAGGTTTGGGAGCAAGAGCCCTCCCACCATTGCCCTTGGCTCTTGGAAGTGAACCTGTGCAGAAGCACTTGCTGCTGTGAACTGGTGCAGCACTGCTTTGAACTGGTAGGTGCTCCTTGGTGTAGCACTAAGTACTTAAGTGCAGCTGCGTGACAGCACCATGAGCACCATTACCAGAGAAGCACAGGGTTATTTTAGTCTTCCAGCACGTGGAAATTACCCTGGTGGTTAAGCCCAATCACAGAGCAATCCGCAAAAACTGGTGAACCCACCAGCACCACATCCTTCAATTCTGTGGTCCCCTCCTGGACGGGGCTGCCCCATGCTCTCTGGGGACCCCAGCCCCCTGTGTCCCCCCCCCCCCCGGGCCTTCCCCAGCCTCTGCAGGCACTGAAATACGTCTTTGTTTTTAAACACACTGGAACAGGTTGCCCAAGGAGGCTGTGGATGCCCCATCCCTGGAGGCATTCAAGGCCAGGCTGGATGTGGCTCTGGGCAGCCTGGGCTGCTGGTTGGCGACCTGCACACAGCAGGGGGTTGGAACTGTATGAGCAATGAGCACTGTGCTCCTTTGCAACCCAGGCCATTCTATGATTCTACAAACAGTTCCAGCAATTCTGAAAATGACATTAGAAAGGTCAGCACTCTGCTGGCAGAGCTGTAGCCCAGTAGGGTCAGAATATGGGGGAGGATGGAACTATGGGACAGGGATGGCATCCCATTGGCACCTCAGCATGCAGCAAGCCAGGCACGTTGGTGCTGCCAGCAGAGGTAAGCACACACCTGGGGGCCCCCAGCTCCCGGAGAAGCCCAAGTGTAGCGTGTGGGGATGCAGGATGACCCACAGCTGTGTGTCAGGATGAATCCTTCCCATTACGGCCCAAAGGATGAAGCAGAATGCACCACAAACAGTGTTCCATGCAGGCAGCAGCCCCACCAAGGACAGGTGGGGACAGCCATCATCATCTGCCAAGGCATATATATATATATTTTTTTTTTAAAGCAATTTCCTCCTTCCATCCCTCTGACAGAGCAGGGGGAATATTTAAGTGATCTGTCAGCACCTCCTTCACCCAACCGAACGGATGCTCCCTGCTGATGGCACCCAGTCCCGGGCCAGGGGGACAGCAGGATGCCCATGGCACCCCTCACCCAATCCGTCCCCGCTGCCCCCAGAGGCACATCTGCTTCCCCTAAGAGCAAATGGCACAACCCCGTGGTTTTTGTGAATGATTTTCTTGTTCTACTTTCGTCCAGAATGGCTCTACAGCAAGGTTGGTGCTTTAACACAGTAATTCTCAGAGCGTAATGAAAGCTGACATTATATCAAACACAATAAAGACTCTCAGTTGATGGAGATCATTCCTGAACACACAAACCCATTAAACTGAAAAAAAAAAATATCAATTCTACACACTCGCCAGCCAAAAGAAAATGTGATTTGTTATCTAAAAGGGGGTTATAAACACAGCTTCAATGCACTTTCTGTGCTGTAATGAAAACTGGGTTTGAAATAGCAAGACGACTGCAAATTAGAGTATTTGATTTTATTTTCTAACTTTTTAGGTAAGCCTTCTACAAGGACAAGTGCAAGGTTACGGTGGCGATCTTTCTGTTCTCCACCGATAAGTAGGATCTGTAATTAAAGGAGGAGAAAAATGAAACGGGGATAAGGAACTTGTGCTTGCCCTTCTGAAGATGCTTTGACCGCAGAGGCTGCTGTGGTCCTGCATGGTCGCAGAGCAGGGCTGGGGACAGCCAGCCACAGCCCCACTGCTGTGCTCCCACTGCCCTTCTCCCATTGCTGCAGCCCTGCCACCATGCTCCCATCACTGCCTTCCCACTGCCATAGAATCATAGAATGGCCTGGGTTGCAAAGGACCACAATGCTCATCTGGTTCCACCCCCCTGCTATGTGCAGGGTCGTCAACCAGCAGACCAGGCTGCCCAGAGCCACATCCAGCCTGGCCTTGAGTGCCTCAGTGCCTCACCACCTTCTGAGTGAAAAACTTCCTCCTAATATCCAACCTAAACCTCCCCTGTCTCAGTTTAACATCATTCCCCTTGTCCTGTCACCATCCACCCTCATAAACAGCCATTCCCCCTCCTGTTTCTACGCTCCCTTCAAGTACTGGAAGGCCACAATGAGGGCTCCAGCCCTCTGCTCATCTCAATGCCTCCTCTGGACCCGCTCCAACAGCTCCACATCCTGTGCTGGGGGCCCCAGGCCTGGACGCAGCACTGCAGATGGGGCCTCACAGGAGCTGAGCAGAGGGGGACGATCACCTCCCTCTCTTGCTGGCCACCCCTTTTTCATGCAGCCCAGAACACAGCTGGCCTTCCGGGCTGTGAGCGCACATTGCCATGCTGGGCTTCTCTGCCCTTCCCCAGTGAGTGAAGCCTCAGTGATTCATTCTGTCCTTCCCCATTTGGCGAATGGTGCTCCCGTTTTCCCCTGAGTTTCATTTCTAATGGACCTTGAAATTATCTGGGCTTTGTTATTTGCTTCCTTGTTTGCAGGTGGGAGTTATCGATGGAGGGCAGCCCTCCGTGCCACATCTGTGCCACAGCACGGCACAGCACAGGAATCTCTTTGGGAAATATGGCTGTTGCAGTGGTGGCTGGCTGTGGGGGCCATCCCGTAATGCATGTGCTCAGAGGCAGGAACAAAACAGAAACGTGAGTGTGGTGCACAGAGCATCCTGGGCAGAACACATGGACATGCGCAGAGCTCCAGAAGGGGTTATTGCCAAAAGATAATTTCCCCATCTTTGGGATGGAACCCAGAGGGAAGCGCTTTGCGCCCGAAACATATGGAAGAGGGGAACTTCCCCATGTAGCAGGGAAAAATGCTGTGAGGAAGAGGAACTGGGAGAAAAACAACAGTAATAAACATTTTATGAAGCAGAAAATGGCTTATAAAGAAGTCAACTTTTAAAGGCAATTTATATAATCCTGCCAAGCGCACATAAATGGGACTCTGCAGCGCCTAAGTGTCCCTTAAAGGGACAAAGAGCTCTGCTGCCCAGCACACTGAACTCAGCAACACCATGCCTCGACGTGTATTGTGCAGGCTGGGCTTTGTCACCATTCTGCAGAGCTGGCTGTGGTCCCTGCACTGCCATGCATCACCTGCCCTGTGCTCCAACTGGGGACCCCATGGTGGGATGTACACTGGAATTGCATGGTGGAATAACAGGGAGATGAGGATGGAGGAACAGGGAAAGCCAGTTGCTAGGTGGTGTGCTGGTGTTCTTACCATCATGCTTTGCACCTGGCTCTTATCTGAGCTATGTGGCAAACAGGGGATGGCAGCTGGTGCGCAGCAGCATGGTACTGGGGACAGGGATGGGGACACCTGGAGCATGGGGACAGCACTTGGGACATTGCTCCATGCCCCCCTGTGTGGAACAGAGTCCCTAGCTCTGACAGCACAACATGTACGTCCTACACAGACCCCACGGGGCCCTGACTGTACACCTGGGGACCAGAAACATCTTCCAGGGAGGACTGGCAGGGCAACAGGAGCAGGGACAGCTGTTCTGCTGCTCGGACCCAAACAGCTTCCATGTGCTCTGCCCAGGATGCTCTGTGCATCCTGGGGGAGGGCAGCCTCTGCAGGACAAGGCCCTGGAATGGATGAAGTGTGTGATGACACGGAATGGAGGTCAGGGCAGGACTACAGGGGTGGTACATGGATCAGAGCGGAGACACTTCCAGTGCCACCCGGGAAAGAAAGAGCCGCCAGTGTGCGGCATGGGAACCAAAAACCCCAGCACTGATGAGGGAGAAGAAACTTTCCAGGCAGAGATCAGTGCTGTGTGATCGCTGGGAGCGACCTCGCAGCCGTCCTCGCTTCTGCTCCTGTTTCATTTTCCCCTGAACCTCCATAGCAACCCATCTGCAGTGAGCAACTCTAATGTTTAATGGTCCTGCCATTAGCACTAATGCATTGCAAACACTCAACATCTGCCGTCGCGCATTCAGATGGAAACACAAAAATAACCACGCTCGGTGCAATCTGTCATAAACTTCAGCTCGAGGTTACGAAATGACACACGGAGAGAGCAAGGGAGAGCTGCGGCCAGGATGACCAGCAGCTGGTGGGACAGAGGAGCATGGTGATGCTGTGGGCGCTACTGTGGTCCTTGGCACCTCATCCTGGTGGTGCTGCTCGGGTGGTGGGACCAGCACTTCCCCATGGGCAGCACAGGCAGGAGGTGGCAGCTGCACTTGGCAGCACGGCCCCAGCATCCCAGCAGCATCCCACCCAGCTCTGCGCTGTGCTGATAAAGCTGCGTGGTGACGCATGGCCGCGCATTGTTTCCAGGTGACTCGCTTCTAATTACCTTGATGAAGTGGTAGCAAACAGAGCTGTTAAAAATATTTTTCAATGAAAGTGGGTTTCTGAAAGGTTTGTGCCACATACTGCAAAACGAGCCAAGAGTTCCCAGCGCCACAGCTGCTCCTGCACACTGGTTATCACCAAGACTGGCTCTCTCTCACCCCGCCCATGAAGGCTCCAGAAGGGGAGAAAGTGATTTTGGCTGTGGCACAGCAAAGCGAGGAAACGTGAGCTGAACCCACAGAGCTGTTGTATGAAGAAGTGCAGGGAGGGTTTTCCTGCTAGGTTGACATTCCGCCGTGCCCCACTGCTGCGCAGAGCAAACCTTGCTGTCCTCCTGATGCCTCTTCCACCCATCTCCCGGGAAGGGGTAACAGTAACTCGCAGAAAGCTCTTGGTGACCATTGGTACTGGATACAGCAGTATGCTGGATGGCACAGCTAGCAGGTTCATCTCACCTTCCATTAGCAAAGCTGCTTCTATTGGTGAATGGAAGGCAGAGGACATGGACATGGCTGTCTCTCCTTTCCCTGCAGTGCCTTCTGCCTGCTCTGCAAATGGCCAGCACTCCCAGTGCACTGCAGCTGAGCAGGTGCGCTCCTGAAGACCCCTGGAAGCTCAGCACACACAAGTGTCAGCCAGACACAGCTGCTGGTGGGGCAGGGACAGGCTGGGAGCACCCATCACCTGGCAAGCATGGCTCAGCACCTTGCCTTCTCTTCTGCTCCTCCTTCACCTTTTTCTCCATGTTTATCTGTGCTGCCATCACCCATGGCAGGAGGGTCTATAGGAGCAAGATTTGCTTCGGTTTCTATTCTCTCCCCCACCTCTCCTTCGTTTCCATCTGCATGTCCAGTGGAGCCCACTGACTGCCCTATTTAGCAGCCAAGAGCTATGAGATGGCCAACCCCTCCTTGCAGGTGGACATGGACAGGTGCAGAGCCAGGACAGTGGTGCACAGGGACCAGCTGGCCAGTGCTGGAGGAGGGTTCCCTCTCAGGTAAATGCCACTGGGTCCATGTGAGGGGCTTGTCACACAGAAGGATAGGGGCAGGCAGCCCAGAGGTGACATACCTAGGACCAAGGCTCACCTTGAGCCAAGCCATTGCCTCAGGAATGGGAAGAGAGAGGAAAAGGAGAGGCCATCACTGTGGGACAGTACCAGCTGCATGTGGAGCCCTGGGGCTGCCAGCCTGGGGCCAGTGATGTTTGTACTCCAAGGGATGCCCACAGAGGTAGGGCTGTCCCCAGGCTGTCCCCTTAACCACCGCAGTGGGCTCCTGGTGGCAGGGCAGGATCTGGCCCGGCTCTGAGGAAGAGGCTGGTGGACTCAGATATTTTTACTGCAGGTTCCATTTGCACTGGAAGGAAAACAATCCTTCCTTCCTTTTGTATTATTGTTAGAATTTGAGAGCATTTCCAGGCAGAACACTTCAGATTCCTGCTGAGCGTTATCACTGCCATAATTACAAAGTCAAATGCAATCATTAAAACAACATCTTCCCTCTCCCAGCCGAGATTCGCTCCTTCCCCGGCAGCAGCCAGGCACTGCTGTCAGGTGCCTCAGGCACGTGAGCCGCTACCCTTGCCCAGCGCTTGCCCTGAAAAACCAATCCTGAAACCCTGAGAAACCTCTCAGCAAGAATCCAAACCCTCATTCGGTTCAGCCTTCCCCTTCTGCCCACTCCCACCCAGCTGCAGACAAGCTCAGAATGGATTTGTCCACGTAGCCTATGGATGGGGATGACAGTAGCTTTAAAATTCATGGGGAACCAAGGATAAGGAAGGAGGAGCTGAAGGATGGGAAGCAGGGAGGGGACAGGCGTGTCACAGCGTGTGTCTCCACGGCACATGGTGAGCTGGAGCCTTACCCGGATGTTGTCCTGCCAGTGGTGGGCCTTCTGGAACTTCTCTGCTGCATTCGCCAGCCTCTGCAAAGAGAGCAAGAGGGGAGAGTGAGTGTAAAGCCGTGTGATGCCCACACCATGGCTGGCCCCAGCTGCGAGCAGTCGAGAGAGGCTCCATGGGGTGCCCACAGCCTCCATCCCCTCTCTGTGTGCCTAGCAGCCCTCTGCATACACAAGCGCTGCAGCCAGGACCCCACAGCCGCCCTCCCTTCAGCAAGAGGCTCCCAGGCAGAGGCAGCACCTAACGATGCTAACTGCACAGTGTTAATTAGCCATGAGGCTGGCAAGGTTGTTGCATCCTAGGAAGGCTCCCTGGAGAGCTCAGCACCATGAGGATGCAGCCAGCTGAGACGTGCCACCGCTGACATCCCCAGGCACCCACTGCTCTGATGGAGGCACGAGTGCCCTGCACGGTCAGCCTGTTGTGCCCCCAGCTCACACCAGGCACAGTGTGCCTCCAGCTCAGCACCTCGGCTGAGCACCAGGCACAGCAAAGCACTGGGAGCACCGAGTGTGCAGTGCCATCATGCATCTTCCCATGGGGACAGCACGGCTTGTTCTTATCGGCTGCACAGAGATGAGTATTCCATCACTGCACTATCTCAGCCCGCACTGGTCAAAACTTTCTCCTTTAACCTTTTTCTATTGCTTGAAATTTTGATTTCCAAGCCTAAGTGCCTGCTTTTCACAGCTAGCATCTGTTGGGAGCTCAGCAACCCACAGGGTGCTGCAGTGAAACTCGTCCCGCCTGGGTCGCTGGGAGAAGATCAGAGATAGCAAACATAAAAGTCAAATGTCTGCTCATTTTTGGGGCAGTTTTGCCTGGGGGGGGTTGGTGTTAGCAGAGCTGCGGCCCAAATCCTGCACCCTCCCCCAGCCACTCCGTGCTGCGCTTATGCACTGAGATGGCTGATTAAGGGCAAGCATTTATTTCGAGTTGTACTTAAGGCAGCAGTGATGAAATATGCATTTTTCTATACTTGATAAGAGCGTGTTTGTTTATTGCATGCCCAGGGAAGATTTATGGACATCTTTAACTATTCATTGCCTCGCGAGAAGTGCCTGGAGTGCTGCAAATGGTGCACTTGGTGTCTGCTGCACCCACTGCAGGCACTTCAATGGAACGTATTTTTCCTCTGGAAAATGTCAATTTGTCAAAGTCAATCTGGACAAAACTTTGTTTTTAGGAAAAAATAATTCAGATGTTCTGTTCTTCTTTGGCTAATCAGTGCATTACAGGGATGGAGGAGGTGGCAGCAGGGTGGCAACGTGCCCCAGGGAGGACAGAACGTGGTGACAGGGATGGGCTGCAGGGCATTCCCATCTGTGAGTAACGAGTTCATCATGAATAATGCGATTGGGATCGATACAGCTCAAGGATTATTTCTAATCCTTAATAACGATTAAACCATTATTTTACAAGTGCTGCAGATCAATCATCCCATCTTCAGCCATGCTGTGTGCAAGGCACTGCACGGCCCACACCATGTCCCTCCACTTTTGCATTCAGTGCGGTGCTCCTGTCCTCCAACCAATGGAGCCCTGGGAAGCTTTTCCAGCTTTGCTTCACCACAGGGCATTAAGGGCACGTGCAGATGCCACCTTTCACCCCGTCACTGCAACTCAGCCATGCAACGATGGGGCAAAACGCAGCATCTGCACGTGCCCAGGGTTGTTGGGCAGCGACGATATTCCCTTTATATGCGCACAGGGAATATAAATCTTTAGCAAACACTGTAAAGCAATGAAGCATCTCATCCTGTAATAATCTCCAAGACAGTTGATCCCAGGGCTCTTATTACCCCAGCAGCTGGCATCTGAAATCCAGTCAGCAGCCGGCTCAGCCACAGCCGGGTATTGATCACGAAGCGGCTGCACAAAGCGCCGCAGCATTTTTCTATCAGTGCTAACTTGTTTGCCAATAACTCTTTCAGCCACATGGCACGGGAGAGAAAGGAGTGGCCAGAGCCCATCTCTCCTCCTCTTCAGCCTGAATCTCTCTCATCCCCGGGGCTAGAAAGTGATGGAGCCACATCTGAGGTGGGCTATCTTAAGGCACGTGCTGTACATCAGCCGGGCTGTGCTTGAGATGAAGCCGGTGGCTTTTTGGGTGGACTCTGACTGCCAGCACCAGGCTGTACTGCACACAAGTGGAAGCATTTGGCTTGGCGCGTGTGGAAGGACAGCCAGCACACCACACTGCCTGTAGCTGCCATCAGCCTGCTGACATCTTGCATCTGGTTAAACCGTGCTGAGGAGGATTTTGAGGCATTTTCAAAATAACTGCGAGAGTTTTCTGTTTGTGCCGAGCAGCCAATTAAGCGGTTTGCAAACAAAATGGAATCACAAAAATTTGCAGTGCTGCGTGCCGCATTTGAAAGTCCATTATTAGAAATTTACACCGGGGAAATGTAAGCAAAAGCTTCTGGAGTCTGACTGCCCAAGCACTGGTGATGGTCGTATTCCCGTCACGCCAGGAAAAAGAGATTGCAACCCCCAGCCTGTAGTGGACTCTGCCTTACCGTAGTAGAAACGAGAGAGCTGACTTGGGAGGAGAAGAGGAATGGCAGCATGTCCCACCTCAGCAACGCAGGTGGCGCCCTCCCCGACCTACCTCGGTTCCTCAGGTGCCCCTAAGTAATAGGTTTGAAACCCTGGAACTGGAGGGTGAGGAGGCTGAGAACAAGGTGGTGGAACAGCCTCTGAGCTTTGCTAAGGAGAGGCGGTCGGCTCCACGCTTGAAGACCGCCTCTTCTGGTAAAGAAAGGAGGGTGATAGTTGTAGGAGACTCCCTTCTAAAAGGAACTGAGGGCCTGATATGTCGTCCTGACCCCACCCGGAGGGAAGTGTGCTGCCTTCCTGGGGCACGGGTCAGGGACATCTCTAGAAAGCTGCCTGGGCTTATTCGCCCGTCTGACTACTACCCCTTATTGGTAGTTCAGGTTGGCAGTGATGATACTGCCAAGAGAAGCCTAAGGGCAATCAAAAATGACTTCAAGGGTCTGGGGAGGGTACTGGATGGTGCGGGAATGCAAGTGATCTTCTCTTCTATCCCTTCAGTGGCGGGGAAGGACTATGAGAGGATCAAAAAAGCCCTCCTCATCAATAAATGGCTTAGAGGATGGTGCAGGCAGGAGAACTTTGGTTTTTTTGACCATGGGGCAATTTACTCGGCTCCTGGCATGATGGCTGCAGATGGAGCTCAACTGTCTACAAGGGGTAAAAGGATCCTAGCCCAGGAGCTGGCAGGCCTCATTGAAAGATCTTTAAACTAGGTAAGAAGGGGGAAGGGGACAAAATGAGGACTGCTGAGGTTCAGGTAGTTCAAGGTTCAAAAGTGAACTTGATGGGTGACGAGGGTGGAGTTCGAAGGGATGGAGTGTGGCAGGGGAATGCTGCCTCCCTGAAGTGTCTATACACTAATGCGCGCAGTATGGGAAATAAACAGGAAGAGTTAGAGATCTGTGTGCGGTCACATGGCTATGATCTCATTGCGATCACAGAGACGTGGTGGGACAGCTCGCATGACTGGAATGTTGTCATGGAGGGCTATGTGCTTTTTAGGAAAGATCGGCCGGCGAGGCGGGGTGGTGGAGTTGCTCTTTATGTAAGAGAGCAGCTTGAATGTATTGAACTCCACCTGGGGGAGAGTGGTGTAGCAGTGGAGAGCTTGTGGGTAAGAATCAAGGGGTGGGCTGGTATGGCTGACACCGTTGTGGGTGTGTGCTACAGGCCCCCTGATCAGGAGGAGGAGGTTGATGAGGCCTTCCACAAACAGTTGGAAGCAGCGTCACGATCCCAGGCGCTGGTGCTTATGGGGGACTTCAATTATCCAGATATTTGCTGGAAAAGCAATGTGGCCAGGCATGCGCGGTCCAGACGGTTCCTGCAATGTGTTGAAGACAACTTCCTGATGCAGGTGGTTGAGGAATCGACGAGGAGAGGGGTACTGCTGGACCTTATTCTCACTAATAGAGAAGGGCTTGTCGGGGAAGTAAAGGTCGGGGGCAGCTTGGGTTGTAGTGACCACGAGATGGTGGAGTTCAAGATCCTGAGTGGAAGAAGTAAAGCAAAAAGTAGGATTGCTGTCCTGGACTTTAGGAGAGCCAACTTCGATCTCTTTCGGGGCCTACTTGGAGCTGTCTCATGGGCTAGGGTGTTGGAAGGCAAGGGGGCCTGTGAGAGCTGGTCAGCATTTAAGCAGCTCTTCTTCCAAGCTCAGGATCGGTGCATCCCTGTGAGGAAGAAATCGGGAAAGGGCGGCAGGAGACCTGTGTGGATGAGCAAGGAGCTCGTGCGCAAACTCAAAGGAAAGAAGAAGGCCCATGAAATGTGGAAAAAGGGTCTGACTACTTGGGAAGAATACAGGAATGTTGTCAGGGTCTGCAGGGATGCGACAAGGAAGGCTAAAGCCCGCCTGGAATTAAATCTGGCAAAGGGGATAAAGGATAATAAAAAAGGTTTTTTCAAGTACATTAACAGTAAAAGGAAGACTAGGGAGAATGTGGCTCCCCTGCTAAGTGACGGGGGTGTTCTGGTAATGGGGGATGCTGAGAAGGCGGAGATACTGAATGCCTTCTTTGCTTCTGTCTTCAGTGAAAAAGCTCCCCCTCGGGAATCTGAGACCCTGGAGGTCAGTGAGAGGATCTGGGGAATGGAAGACCCCCCTTCTGTCAGGGAAGAGGTGGTCCGGGAGCGCCTAGGCAACACCAATGTTCACAAATCCATGGGACCCGATGGGATTCATCCACGGGTGCTGAGGGAGCTGGCAGAGGTGATTGCTGAACCGCTTTCTGTCATCTTTGAGAAGTCTTGGAAGACGGGGGAGGTGCCTGAAGACTGGAAGATAGCCAACGTCACCCCGGTCTTCAAAAAAGGCAAGAAGGAAGACCCAGGCAATTATAGGCCAGTCAGCCTCACCTCTGTCCCTGGAAAGGTGATGGAACAGCTTGTACTGGATGTCATCTCCAGACAACTGGAAGAAGAGGAGGTTATCAGGAGTAGTCAGCACGTGTTCACAAGGG